GTCTTCACATAAGAAGAATACAGTGTGTTGTCAAAATGAAAGCTAATGAAATTTGTCAGAATAAATCTTTTACCCCAAGTTATTGTTGGAGAAACTTGTAACTGCATCTCATGACAAGAAGGCATTTCTATCATATCAGGAGTACTGCCACACTGGTGACCAGTAATAACAGTCAGTGGTTTATTAGAAATAAAGTGTGTTCCTGATATATCACTTCCATTCCCTTTACCCAGCAATAGAGTCTGTCCCTCATGTAGTGTAATAGTATGAGAGTTACCTTTAGTTACTAATATATCATCACTCCCATTCTTCTGTACATCAATAGGAATGAAGAGATCAACTGTTGGTATAATACTAATGACAGTATTATTAATACAACCAACAAGAAGAACTTGACTAAGAGATGTGTTACGGTAACTACTAGTAGAAACAGCATAATATTCATACTGACTGACTCCTGGGTACTCATGATATGGTAAAATGAGATACTCATAGAAATAACTAAAATGTGACACACTTATCGGTTGATCACTTGTCAAATGAATCCCCTTAAATCGATCTGCAAAAGAACTAGAACTTGTATAGAAGCTTGAAGAAAGATATACATATGGATCTGGGCTATTCTTTGTTACTGTTCCATTTCGAGTATAATTGAACGAATCAATAGTGATGTTATATGTGACGTTGAGAGGAGACAAAGTCGAAATTGTAAGATATCCACTGTATCTCATTAATCCAAAGTAAAAGCTAGTAGCAGAATTATTGTAACTCTCTCCTACAATAAAAAATAGTTATTTATACAGGCTAGATCTAGAATCTACTAGAATTATAAAAGTGAAATGTACTTACCATAACCTAATTGCGGGCATAATAAAAGAGCAAACAAAAGAGAGAGAATTATCATCTTCAATTATTAACTAGAGAACAATGACACAGACACAGTGTTATAAAGGTTGAATAGTAAATTTTATGTGTATGACCACAGTCCACACCCAATGTGCATATAAAAGAATGTATCATAGATGATTAGATATATTTAATTACTAGTTTCTGCTAGATCTAATAAAATGTTTGTCTATTAGTAATGGATAGCCTCTATCAGTCCTCATTAGAAAAATAGATGTTCAATTGCTCAGATCTAGTAGGGAATTTAATATTTATGGCTGTACAAATTTTTGTTGTAGAAAAACAATGTTAAACTCCATTCAATTATAAGCATGATATGCATGCACATTTACTAGATACTTGCACTAAAAATATAATGGCATTGTAAAATCCATATTGCAGGCATATAGTAATCATAATGCACATTACAATTGGCACAAAGGACTTTCTAATATAATGTCACTGTAAACCACCACAATCCTTCAATCATAATTTCTTTGAGATCGATGTTACTGTCTCTCTATTCTGTAATATCTCTTTTTTTCTTTCATACTTTTTCAGTATGTTAAACCATTTTATTGCTTAGGTCATGTTAGTTTATTATAAATCATCAATTATAATTATTACTGAACTAGATCTAACAAAAAGGAAATCATAACTATAGTCTTTTACTAGTTAATGTCTAGTTAATGCATTGATGAGACCAGCAGCGGAAGTTATCTTTAAACCTCTCACGCTCAGAAACCTTTAAAAAGAAAATAATCTAAAAACACAATTGATTAGTATATGACTCACAGTTTTATAAATGGTATAATATGATCTCTGGACACACTGTCCCCATCTTGCCATGC